CATTCTCAACCATAACATCTTTTTACAGCTTATTAAACCTTTGTATGTTATTTAAAGATGAAACATATTTTTGATTGTAAGAATTCTTCTTTTTTTTTTTGCAAGTGGATATTGCTTTATCAATTTTATGGAGATAACACTAATTTTTCCAGACACAAGCCTTACTATTTAACGCATAGCTGGAGGGAAGAAAAGATGAATTCATACCTTTTTCAAGAATATATGTGCATAAGTGAATGTAACAAACATGGCTAGAATTTGAACTCAGTTCTCCAGTTACACATTCTTTAGGTAGGTGATCCCCACCCAGTATGTGACACATTTGGAAAGTATCTGAAAACTATACAAAGAGTTGACCCAACCATTTTGTATACAAGTGGGAAGATATTGATATTTGTGCTAATACAAAGTCATAAGGGTTTGAGTGTACTGGCTTTGATGCCCTCCTTCCCTCCCAGAAATTATAACTGTCCACACAGTATAGTTGCAGTATAAATCACAGTCTGTGGATTGAACAAGGCAGAAGAGTGTGCTCACAAACAAGTAATAGCTGGTCATTACATATATATATATATATATATATATATATATATATATGAAGAAATATGGTGTGCTATATTTATGGGATAAAGTGCTCAATATCAGAGATAGAGCATGTGTAAAAGTGAACATTGAAGTTAACACTTAGAGGCGACAGTCTGTTTCATGCTAGACGCAATCGTCAGGCCTGATGATTGCATCTAGCATGAAATAGACTGTCACCTCTAAGTGTTGACTTCAATGTTCACTATATATATATATATATATATATATATATATATATATATATATATATATATACACACACACATTTATATATTATATAACTAGTTTAAAAGCTGCCCTATTAGGCAGCATTTAAGCTAGATCCTGCAGAGGGTTCTCGATTGGCTGTTCATCACAATAGGTAGGGAGGAGTAGATGCAATAGACAACAATAAACTACAAAAGAACTCAAAATTGAGAGCTGCATTTATTGTATTGCTTTAATATTCAAGTAATGAAAACTTGGTAAATTTCAAGATTGCAGGTCCAGATCCAGCCTGGAATGTTTTTAATTTGCTCATGGAGTCAGCCTGATTCCAAAATGGTATAATATGTTGGGCCTTGACCTCTAGGAGTAAAACTGAAAAGTGTGACATAATGACATTCAGATTTTATTATACAGAAAAAGATGAGCTATTTAAAGTTAGAGAGCTGTGTTCCTTTAATTGAAAAAGTGACGCAGTGACAGTGAAATTTGCACTTATTATATAGATTAATACAAATATAAAGTTTGTCACTTAGCTGATTGGTATTACCTTCAGCATCTAAACTCATGGACAGACCCTCCAGCAATCACTCCATCCACTTGTCAAGAGAGTATCAGCAATTGACTGTTTACATTTCTTGTTTTTTTATATATGCACTTTTCATTGGTGCAAGGTTGATTTTTTTTTTTCCTTTTATAATATGTGCACATGTACAATATTGTGTTTATTTCTCCTTTTTATTGTTTTTCTTGTCATTTTATACTCACTTCTTATTGATTTTATAGTTTTTCTCTTTCTCTTCAGTAATTTTGACAATTTGTTCTTCAGACATTCATTGTTCTTGTTAATTTTTGAGTGTTCTAGTGTTTTCTTGAGTTTGGAAAATTGTATTTCACTTTTTACATAAATAATTTTTTTTTTATCAATGCTGATAAATTGTCATCTAAATTACACAAAAATGAAAACATTGACATCTCATTTTAACAGATATATTTACCAAAATTACACTAAAATATCTTGAAATACTAAAGAGTTTATTCAATAAAACTGCCATTGGCTTCAACCATGGCTTCCAGACAATTTTGGAATCTCCTGCAACTCTTCTGTATGGTCTCCTTATTTAAGTTGGTGAATGCTGCCATAATCCTTGCCTTCAGTTCATCTATGGTGTTACAAGGAGTTTTGTTGGTCTCATGCTCAACTGTGCTCTACATATAATAATCAATGGGGTTGCAGTTTAAGGAGTTAGGTGGCCAGATGTAAGGGGTGATGTGGTTGCACAATATGTCTGATTGCCATGACTGGGATCTCCTGCTTGGGTGGTATGGTGCTGAGTCCTGTTGCTAGACATAGGGTCTTCTAGCAGCTACCCTCTTGATCCAAGATATCACTACCTCCTCAAGGCACTTGATATAGGCTTCTGTGTTGAGTCTGAGGCCCTGTAGGAAGATGAATGGAGGCATAACATTGCCATCACTAGTGATCACTCTAAACATCATGATGTTGACTGGATATTTGGTTTTCATTACTCTTGGTACATCTTTTGAGGACACAGCAAGCCAATGGTTGTTCTGTGTGTTCACCAGCCTATCCTGACAGAAATTTTTCTTGTCCGTGAAAAACCAAAGCTTGTTCAGTTGGAGGAAATGCTGAGTATTTTTTTAAAACTTTGTAGTTGGGTCTTTCTTGTTCTTCATGGCTTGGGATAAAAAATTGTCCCTTTCTCATCTTGTATGAGAAATACCAAATGTCTTCATGCACTACCTGCCTGATAAGAAACTCAGACACTCCTTTGTCCCTGTCGATCAATCGGATTAACTTGATCATTGTCACTCATGGCCTGGATCTCACCAACAAATTTGGAAGTTATTTTCTTATCAGAATGATCAGAGTGAGTTTTCTTAGCTGCCATACCTTAGTAATCACCATTAAACTCATCCAACTCTTTCTGGATCCTCTGCACTATCCTCAGATTGACACCCAAACATTTGGAAATGTTCATATTGGAGCTCCTGATGTGAATGACAAGCAGTACAGCATACTGCTTCCAAATTTCTAGTGAAGTGAATTGAGTCATAGTACTCTTTTTCTCACAGACATTACCTAACTGACCCTACTATATTGTGCAGTGGACAAAATCAAAAACAAACAACACATATGCACAAAATAAAAAAATATAAAATGGCGACAATTTACCCATCGCACACTGTACATATCTGTACATATCTTCACTTGGCCATTTCATTTTTCTTATTTGATTTGGTGATATCTTAAGTATTATGGTGTTAATTATAGAAAGTTAGGTTTATAATTACATTTTTATTTATTATTGTTATTTCTGTGTTTTTCTAAATTAGTGCTTAGACAGCAAAGTAAATATTTATTTATAAGCCTACACTTACCCATTATTTCAGTTTTATTTTGGTTTCTAAAACTAATTATGGATAATTTTTCCTCTAAACATAGTTTACAGTTTTTACTGTATGAGGCTGCCCTTTAAATAATTTCACATTTGATTTTGGTGGGATATTGTTTTCTTTTTGGGTCCATATGTATTTTGATATGGTTGAATCGTTTGTATTTTTTCTCTCAAAGCACATTTCTTTTAGGGTTTTTTTCATGTGTTAATGTTATTAATTATGGTAGCTTTGTATATTATGCTATAGGTTAAACATTTATTGTCAAGAGAGACTATTTTCTTTGTTTCTGTAATTACATTTGATGATGTTATTTTGCAAATCTTATTTTTGTTGATTTTGCTATTTTTTTTATTGTATTTAGTTATTATTTTCTCCATGTAGCTGTAACTAATTTTGGTTATATTTTAATTGATCATTTTTGATAATGTGCTGTTTTAAGGGAAATTTTTGTCAATTAGTTTGAAGAATATTTTGCCTATATATAGGATTTTTTTAAAATTTTCCACGTTACAGATATTAATGGTCAAAATAAAATGTATATAGGATGTACAGAGAGTTCTTTTAAGTAAAAATGGTATATCTATAGATCATTGTTGAAGCTAGTAAATCTTAGATACTCCGCCAAACTTGCTAACCATATGTGGTATTTTAAAAGAAAAAACAACAGGGATCCATCCATAAGGTGGAAAATTTAAAAAAAGGCAAAACTATGCAACATCATAACTGCATTTTCAACCTATGCCAACATGAGAAATTAGCAATTATGACATTTCCAGATCCCAAAAACCTTTTAAACCAGAAATCTGAAATTTTAAGTCCTTATTTTCATATCAAAAATTTTTTAAGTGAATATGAGGCTGGATAAAAAAAATGTAATTTAAAACCCCACTGTTATATTTACGTTTGATTTTCTTCACATTTACATTATATTTGTTGTTTTTTCTTTTCTTCTTCATTTTCTTAATTTATTTGTGATATGCTTGCTTTTCTCTTAATCCTTCTTCTTTTCCTTCTCAACACCCTCTTCCTTTCTATTACACTTAACACCATTTGTTTGATCATTGTGTGTTTGTTTATTTTTGAAAATAATAATGTAGCGTTCTTTGTGTTTTTTTTAAAATAAAAGGCATTAAGTGGTCAGGTCAGTTGATAAAAAAATCACCTGATAAGACCGTAAGGTCAAAATCAAGGTCACATATTAATCTGACCTCCTGATATTTAAAGTTAAAAGCTCTACATGTTATTTTTACTTTTATTTTATTTTTTCGCACATGTATTGAGCACTTTTTAATACTACTGTTTCCTGGTCGGTTTCAACTCTGACCATTAACCTTATATGTCTGTGTGCACAATATTTGTGATATGTGTAGGTTATCAGAAAAAAAAATTATTATCATAATTGTTTTACTTTACCAGTTTCACTGAGTAATTTTATATAGTTGTGTGTGTGTGTGTGTGTGTGTGTGCAAACATTTCAGGGGACAATATGAATAAAGACAAAATGCATTTCGTCCTCTGATGGACTTTATCAAGGCATATGTGAGGATTTTTTTTTGCAATAAGTTTATATATATATGTATGTATAAAATGATGTAAGAAAAAAACTAAGCATTGTACATAAAGATTTAAAATGTTTGCAAACAAATGAAAAGATTTTAAAGCAATGAAATAAAAAAGAAAGTTAAACAAAATTTTAAAAAAATTAAATTAAAAATATTTTATTTCTTTCTGATATTAACACATACACACTTTAATACATTTGCTGATTCTTTGGATATTCTAATTCCTTTTCATGAACTGGAGGCTTTTTGGATCAGTTTATCCTGAAAGTAAATATGCAAAAAAAAAAAAATTGAGAAAAAAGTAACAATTATACTATTTTTGAAAAAAATTCACCCAAGCTATCCTTATTTCAATCACTCCATTTATTAAATATTCAACAAGTTTTCTCCCACCCATTAATTTAGACTGCTATCATTCTAGGACAAAGGTTTTCATTACTGAAAATTATTAAAAAAATTACAGCCCCACCCTTTTATTCCACTGACTTCACCTATTTGACTCTCAAGCATAAATTTGGTAAAGGAGTTAGATTAATTGAGAACACTTATTCAAAGACAATGAATATTAATATGACTGTTATATTTAGTAAATAATAACTTTGGAAGTTACACATCAAAGCAACAAACATAACCAAGCTAGTGAAAATGACTTCAATATATTGACTATGTTGGCTATTCATGTCATATAACATTGATTATTTTTCTTGCTTTCAAATATTAGCTAGTCTAACCAGCTGTACAGCATTATTCAGCAAGAAATGTCCAACACAGAAATTCAGAAACCTCTTTTGATACATCAAAGCATTTACAGTACCTTCTCCATAAACTGTATAAATCTTTTGTTTTGCTGATGCATTTTTACCTTTCTAAAAATAAAAAGTGTAATATATTGAAAATGTTGCTTCTTTTCTTCAATCTTCAATATGAGAATCAATAAATAAGAATATGCTAATTGTGCCAGCCTGAAGTGGTTTACTTGTACAAGACACACATTGCCTGAATGAATACCACTCTGACTTTCATACTAGATTGGCTGTTGGCTGGGATCGTTACTGAAAAATCCTTTTCACTAATTCAATCATTTCTATCAAATCATGAAATAGGTTGCATAGGTTGTCCTGAATGGGCTCTCTTCCAGTTCCTTTCATATGAATACGGGTGCTCTGCAAGGCTCTATCCTGGGTCATACCTTATTTCTGATCAATGATCTTCCTGATGTCAACAGCTCTCAAGTAGGCATCTATGCAGACAATAGTGCCATGCCTCAATAATAAATCTGGTAATGCTGACAAAGCTAACCTGGTGGTTGGTATTAAAAAGAATCTGCAATCTGTGGTTAACTGGGGCAGGAAATGGTTTGTAAATTTTAATGCCACCAAAACAAAACTGCTCTCACTTAACCACCATAGAGAAACTTCCCTGTCCCCTATCAGCATGATTGATGTTAGACTTTGTGAGAGCATCTCACTGCAACTTCTTGGCCTCACATTTTCCACTGACTTGAGGTGGTACAACTACATTGAATCAATAGCTGCATCTACCGCAAGGAAAGTTGGTTCCTTGTGTTGTGCCAAAGGTTTTTCTCAGCAGAGTTCATCTTGCACATTTACAAATCTACCATTTGTCTATGCATTGAATACTGTTCCCATATATGGTCTGGTGCCCCTGCTGTTCATCTCGAAGTCCTCAACAAAATCCAAAGAAGGATCTACAATATAGTCGATCCTGACTTGGCATCTTGAATTCAGTCACATTCTCACAGAAATGATGTGTCTTCCCTCTGTCTTTTCTATAAATATTTTCATGGCAACTGCTATGATGATCTATTTTCGCTGGTGCCGTTACTACAGGAATTTAAGTGCGCTAGTAGGTTGGTATCTAGGTCCCACCCTTTTACTGTTGAAACAGTTAAATGTAACTGCCACTTCTACTCTAACAGATCCTTCTCTTGCACTTCCATACAGTAGAAATCCCTTCCTCTGACTTGCTTCTCTGATAACAACAATCTTCAAAAATTTAAATGTCAATCAGATGTGTGGAGAGAGCTAGTCAGCTACTCAGCAATCCTATGACTAGTGTGGGCATAGGGTTGCTGCTGCTGCTGCTGATGATGATGATGACAGCTGTCACAATAGAATGAAAAGAAAATTTTGGAATGAAGCTAGTTAAAAATAAATGCACCTGATACCATCTAACAAATTTTTAAATGAATGCAGAAACTACTGTCTACAACTTTGAGAAAAGTTATAAACATATCCAACATTGTATGGATAAGTGCATTTCTTTATATACTTGCAGTTGTTTACACAACATTCTGGCCAATTTGCTTATTGGTCATCATCAGGTGTATTCCAAGTGAAAAAAAAAAACAAAAAAAAATACTTTCATCCAGGGAAGAAGTCATGATAAAGCAAGACTCAATTGGTGGTGGACCTCAAGGTTAAGGAATGCACACCTTTCATTAGGACATTTGGAAGTTTATCTCAGCTAGCTTTATGTTCATTCCCCAAAATGTAAACACTGTCAATACCTCATAAATAATGAACTATTTTGTTTTAATTGCATGGAAAGAAGGGAAAAGACACTACTTGGTTTAAGTGAGGAAATGAAAGAAAGATAAGATTGAAGTGTTTAATGGCTTTTTTAGTGAAACAGAAAATATGGTCAATTTAAAATCTTTTCATTTGTACCCACTTGAATTAATGATCATCATTCATATTTATGATTGTTAATACAATATTTTGTTAAAGTTGTTAAGCTCAAATATTTAATGATGCAATAGACGAATTTATACAGATATTTTATTGTAGAACTCGCCATGAGCTTACTCATTAATTAAGATTCATCAGAATATTTAAATAGGAAAACCGTTAAATTTTTATGGGTTAAAACTAGTAAATATGAATGCTGGTTATTTTAAGAATGGGGTACAAATGAAAAGATTTAAAATTGACAACTTTTTCTATTTCATTGAAACAGCTGTTAAATGTTTCTATCTTCCATTCTTTCTTACATTTTGTCACTGAAACGAAGTAATGTCTCTGATATGTCTTGATTTTCCAAGCTTCAAAATGGAATAGTCCATAATTTATGAGGTATTAGCAGGAAATGTTAAACCCTTCTATCTTCCCTTCTGTTTTTCTCTCCAAAATCAAGCAGCGTCTCTGATAGGTCTTATCTGTCTTTCCATGTGATCAAAACAGGAGAGTCCATTATTTATGAAGTATTAACATGGCTTAATTGTCATGCTAACTAAGGAAGGGAATTATAATAAGATTACTTGAAAAATTGTTCTTAGTGGGTACACATTTGAGTTGACATCTCTTTTTATCATTTTTATTTTCTCAAACAGTGAAAATAATGTCAATTGACCAAGAGTTAGAAGTCATATTAAAGAAAAATGTGTCTCCTGACGGGAATTGAAGCTGTATTCCCTTTTTCTATTATTCCTTAAGTAGATAACCGAGCCATGCCTTTCCATAGCCTAATTGGTAAGAGCACACTTTGACTATAGAAGTGGTTTTCCTGATGGAAAAAGGGAATACAAGTTCAATTCCTGCTGAGAGGCACATTTTTCTTTTTCTTGTTTTGATCTAGGCCAGTTATATCTACCTGCATATTTGTCTACAATTAATACTGAATTTTTATTTTAAATTTTATAATTAATCCCAAATTTTAAATTTCTAAGTACATTTATTACAACAAGACTAGTAACAGGAAAGATGTTCAATTTTTTGAACTGAACTTGGAAAGAATTTCCATCCTTATTAATCTCAGACTAGTTTTCCTTTCATCTTATTATCGCTTCTTTTTACTGCTATGCTTAAATCATTCTTAGCAGAAATAAAGAAATGGCTTCCAAAAAGAATTGAATTTCACCTGTTTTGGTAACCAAACTTGAAAGGAATCAACATGTAAGATAGACTTCCAAGGATATGAGATGCAAGTACAAATCACATCAGAGACTAATTCTTTATTTCTGGTTCATGCTGGTGGACCTCAAGGTTAAGCAACTAGACGCTCCCCAACCCACCACAAAACTACAAGTAAAACTGTGACTCTCAAAGATGCAATAGCAAGATGACCTCATAAAATTCAAAACAAGATGGCCGAGAAAAAGCACAAGTCTAGAGCTTATGGTGACAGCTGGCAAACATCTGTTCCTAACAAAGTATTATGGACAACATGAAAGAAAAGATCATCACAAGAATAATCTCTGACCTTTAGGAATGTGGCAGCATTGGTTGCTTGTAATCCTAAAGATCGAAGAACAACTGCAGGAGTCCAGTCAGTGCCATACAATTTCTGGAGGCCATCAATAGCAGCCACAATAGGAATAATTTGACGCTGTCGTTCTGTTTCATATGCTAATAAGATGTTCAAAGAGCCTGAAAAAAATAAAAATAAAAACATTCTTTTTTCTTGATGCAATTCTCATTAGATATGGGAAGTATTGTTAGGATGCCCTGGATAAGTATTAATGAAGTTTAGCTCTGAAACTGTGTTTTACCCCAGGAGCATTTTAATGTAAGAGTTTTGGGAGCATAGGTGCTGTTTTCACAGCAGTAGTTGTATGAATTTATCACACACACATGTATATAGCAGATCATGTACAACATTTCTAGGATTAAATACACTTTAAAGAGTGTCTCTTCATATAAATGTGTGTGTGTGTGTGTGTGTGTGTGTGTGCATATCTTGAAGGCTGATAATCAGAAGTAGTTATGTTCAAACTGTATAAACATATTCAATTCTGGTTGGGAACAGTTCTTTGGACACTAGCCAGATACATTTTATAATGATTATATATAGCCTCTTCATATAAGATTATTATTAATGGCTGTCCACTTGCATACGAGGATACCTGTCTACAAAGTCAGCTAGCTAATTCCTATTGCAGATGCTTGTTCAGGTGCATTTTGTGTTTGTTCAACACCCACAGACCCCACCTGTGGTTTATACTGCAACTATGCTGAGCAGACCTTAGTTACAGTTTCCAGGAGAGAAATGTGTTATCTAGTGTGAACAACAATCTGAACAAGGCTAGCATGCTCAAACCCTAGGGCACATCCATCGACAGCCCCCAAGTCTACTCAATTTCCTCATATTGGATAGAGACAGAGAAAACACTAGAAACAATAAAATATCTAGTGGACTTATGAAACAATAATCATCTCACTATTCTATTGCTATTTCCATGGCAAATGTTCTGATGATCTACAATCTACATCCACTAGTTCAGATCTTCACAGCTATATATATATACACACACACACACACACACAGGGTATGCAATGGGTAAATTGTTGCCATTTTATCTTTTTAATTTTGTGCATGCAAGTTGTGTTTGATTTTGTCAACTGCACAGTATAGTAGGGTCAGTTGGGCACCGTCTGGGAGAAAAAGACCACCATAACACAATTCATGCCACCAAAACTTTGGGCATGACATACTGTACTGCATAGCATTTGCACCAGAAGCTCCAATACAAACATTTCCAAGTGTTTGAGCATCAATCTGAAGACTGTGCAGCGGATTCAGAAAGAATTGGATGAATCTAATGGTGAATATAAAGAAAACTTGCTCTGATAAGAAAAGAACTTCTGAATTTGTTGGTGAGGGCCTCAGACTCAATGCAGGGGCCTACATCAAGTGCTTTGTAGAGGTAGTGGTTCAAGAAGGTGGCTGCTGGAAGACCCTATGTCTGACAACAGGACTCTGCACCATGCTACACAAGCTGGAGAACCCAGTCATGGCTGTCAAACAATTTCTGTGATCACATTGCCACTTACATCTGGCCACCTAACTCCCCAGACTACAACCCACTTGATTGTTATGTATGGGATTCAGTTGAGCAAGAGACCAACAAAACTCCTTATAAAGTTTAAATTTTGTTTACTAGTGAAGAATGATGAGTTTACTGTAATTAGCTGAGTAACATTTCAGGGGAGGTAACTATATTATGAGGTGTTGACAGTTTTTTTTAACTTTCATATGAACACAGCAATTTTGTTGTTTAAAATGATGAACACTACATTTGTCTGGAAAAAAAAAACAACTCCCTGATGATGTGCTAATGTTGAAAGTACTTGAAATAATTAACATATATCAACATGGTAATTTTCTCTCTTCTTTTAGTAATAAAAAGCTTGTCCGTGAATATGAAAGGATCCAATTGAAAATAAGTAGACAAAACTTGTCTAAATTATTCAATGTAATATATACAGTAATGAGCAAAAAGATTAGAACGATGTTAAGAAAAAGTCTAACATTTTATTTTAAAGCTTCATTATTTTTTTCGAATGTTCTATATTTATTTATCAAAATAAGTTTATTGATCTTTATATTTTGGAATTATATAATTTACCTTTTATATCCTTATTTTTCCTTGATAAAATGTTCTTTGAAGCTTTAAAATAAAAAGTTATTTCACATTTAGACTTTTTAACATCGTTCTGATCTTTATGCTCGCTACTATATATATATATATATATATATATATATATATATATAGGGTTGTCCAGAAAGTTCATGCTGATTTTTAAGGGAAATTAAAACAAAAGTATACCATTAAATAATTATTCAACTAAATATGAAACATTTTGTTGCACAACCTTTCTCCATTTTTTTCTTCGACTTAAAGATTCCATCTTAGAATTTCAGTAGTTTCTCAGCAAAGAACTCATTAATGTGTTTTTTTTTTTTTTATTTCATCCAAAGAATTAAAATTTTTACTACTGAGATTATTTTGCAAGGACCTGAATAAATGAAAATCTGAAGGAGCAATGTCAGATGAATATGGTGTGTGGGGTAACATCCCAGCCAAGCTGCAACAATTTTTGCCAGGTTGCCAAAGAAATGTGAGATCTGGCATTATCCTGATGGAAAACAACACCTTTCCTGTTTGCCAATTCTTGGTGTTTATCTTGAATTGCTGCCTTTAATTCATCCAGTGGTGAGCAGCACTTTTCAGAATCAATTCACTGGTTACTTCATCAGACTAATTTTGTTATGTTGGTAGGACTATACATGTGCATAGCAAAGCATGTTTGGAATTTCAGAATTTTTTTTTTTTACAGCTGAATTAATTTAGTTTTTTCTTTCCATCACTTTTGTAACTATGTATTCTATGCTGTAATATTAGAAGATCTACCAGGAATGGTGAAATATCATAAGAGCCAGGGCACAAATTTACTGTAGATGACCTTGTGATTATGGCACTCTCTAGACATTTATGTCGTAGTGAGTTATTTTCTCCTTTGATCATGGTAACATTTTTATGTCAAAATTGTGGTCAGTCTTGTTATGATGTATTAATAGATAGAATTAATAGGCATGATAATATTTTCTTTTGATTCATTGGGTTTCTCAGGCGGGTTGTTTTTTGTTTTGGAGTATTTTGTGGGCCTTTTGTTTTGAATTGAATATATAATAATTAGGGTACTGGAGAAGTTTAAAAGTGTTTTCAATTTATTTTTCTTCTTTTTGCAAATGTGTTATATATATATATATATATATATATATATATATATATATATATATATATATACACACACACACACAATATATGTGTGTGTGTGTGTGTGTCCACAATATATGTATGTGTGTATGCATATGTAAAATTTCAGATAGAGTATATCTGTAAAGAACAATATGAATAAAGACAAATGGAAAACTTATCTTAGCCAACATGTTTCATCCTCTGAGGACATTTGCCACAATAAAGTCCCTCAGAGAATGAAATGCATCAGCTAAGATAAGCTCTCCTTTTGTCTTTATTGATAGATGTGTGTGTATGTGTGTGTATATACACACACACACACACACTAAATTTGATATATAAAATAATATGTGTGTAAAACATTCATCAAAATGACCTGGTAATTTTTGTTCAATAGAGAAAAATCAAAATCAACCTTGATTTATTGGATAACATGAAAAAAATGTAGAGAACTTGCTCACCTAAATCAGCACCTTCATTCATGGCTTTTGTCAACATACTTTGTAGGCATGTCACATCTGCAAAGCCTAAGTTCACTCCTTGCCCAGCCAATGGGTGAACCCTGTGGGCTGCATCTCTTAAGAAAAAAGAAAAGTTACAATGAATGTAAAAAACAATCACTTAATGGATTAAAAAGTCTTTTTAAATGTGTTTCAATTTGGAAATAATTTTTTAATTTGAAATTTGTAGAAAATATATAGCCCTTCTTTTCCTCAATTTAGTGACAAAAAGAATTATGTAGATATCCCAAGATATATTGGAAATTATGAAAAATTTACAAGACATTTACATGGTCTTTTATATATATATATATATATATCAAAAACACAGACTCAGGCATTTTCTTAGAACTGAAATTAACATGGCAGACACTGAACTCTTTGTGAACTTCACAATGCTTCAACCCAAATCTCATTTTCTTGTCCTTTATCTCCAGTTTCCTCATCAGACAAACCAATATCCCAATGTACATACAGAAAGTTTTGAGGCACTCAATCATCTATGTATCATCACTTCCCTGCCATGCTATGTGTTAATCATATTACATGTATACATCAAAGGTTTAAAGATACTAAATTAATGGAATAGCTTCTCAGCTCTCCAGATATTAGTCATATAGAAAAAGTTGTGCTCCATCATTAAAATAGATGTATATGAGAATGGAAAACAATATTCAAGTAAAGAAGAACTTTGAGAAGCAATTAATAACTACTGCAAATCAAAACATTAGAAAAGTTAATAAAATCAACAGTTGAAAGATTGATGAAGGTTATAGAATATCAAAAAGCTCACATTAAAAAATAAAAATTTATTAAGATATATAAGATACTGTGTTAATCAAATATGTTTCTAAGGACTTTTATGTTTTGAATTTATGAATAAAAATTTATATAGTACATTGTATACAATAACCTGACATCACCAAGACAATATCAATATATTTTTTTAATAATGATGAAAATTACAAGCTGAAACTCACATGCTCATATATATATATCTTGAAAATGTTACACTGGTTGATTAATGTCAGTTTTATTGTGAAAACATGAAATCTTAGCATCTCACTCTATATAATAAAAAAAGAGTATAAAAAAAAATTGTGCTTCACCAAATTTAACAGTCAATCAGGGTATTTCTGGAAGATATATTTTTTTTAATCTTTTCATTTCAAGCAAGGCAATAAAGCCACTAAGATGCAGAGGATTGCTGAGTATGAGTGAATATGAGAAAAGAAAACATTATTAAGGAGAGAGAACAATAAAAGAAAAAGAAATAAGAAAACAGTAGAGAACAATTGACATTGCATTTAAATTTTTGAATTATTGACAGCAAAGCTGGAAGTCAGAAAAGAGATCCACAAGTAAGAAGTGTAATAGAAGAAACTGTTACTATGAAACTTCTGATTACATCTAGTGAATTGTAAGATGATGAGACCTAACTGCCAATCTGGTAGTATGCTTAAATTTATAAAATCTAGGTACCAAAGAGGAGAGCTTATCAGTAAAATTACGATGAAAATATTTATAGAAAAGGCACAGGGGAGCTACATTATTTTTGTGGGAAACTGACTGAAGCCAAGATGCCAGGTCAGGTAACATTGCAGATTCTTATTTGTATTTTAATAAGAATCTCTAAATACATAGCAGAAGCACCTGGCCAGATATAGCAGCAATACTCAAAGTATGGATGAATGCTAGACTTATAAATATGATAAGATAGATACTGGCAAGAAAAATTGTCTTGCCCAACAGAGTGAATTTTCCTAGCAGCAGACCTAGCAATTGATTCAATATAATCTTTTTACTTCATATCAATGGGAAATGATAGCATTTTTAAGAAAAGCAGTTTTTATAATTAAAGTGATTAATATTGTGAGATAGCACATTAATATTAACAAATTTAAATGTTTTACTTATCTGTTCCTATTATGAGTTTTGCAGAGATACAAGTGTATGCAATCTCCACAAGATTCAGTGTAGGAACAAATTGAACCTTTAATTTTATTCATTTGTCTTTCTTTTCTTTTGTTCTCTCTCAAATATAAAAATGAAGGGGGTGCAGAAAAGTAAGTTCTTCATTTGACCTACTTCTCAAAATATGATCAAACATCCAAATGCCTGAATATTTTTCAGCACCCAATCATAAAGCACATTACTTACCCAATTAAAGCAACTCTTTGGCGAACATAATGTGAAGAGAGGTTTAAACCAAGTGGGAACATGGCACAAGATCCTTCATCCACTCCAATGACTGTTGGGGGTAATTGCCTCATTGATGTTCCCCCTGAGAAGTAAAATAAAATATACTGTTTGCATTCTGTCAACAGGAATCAGAAGATGAAGACTTGGATCATAGAGGAGTCATTACTATGGAACTCAAGACAATGGAAATACAATATTCTGTCAATGTCCATTTACAGTTGGATATGTAATCTGGTGGATGGGGGCGAAATGTTTGTTTAATTTTTTTCTTATTTAAGTGGCACATCAACCTCTGTTGGTCAACTTATTACTGAATGCTTTATTTAGTATATTTATGATTTGTAAGAAAGTTTGTAGTTAAATAGAGATGAGTTTTGGGTTAAAGCAGTTAGAAAGAAAGAAAGAAAGAAAGAAAGAAAGAATTTTTTTTGTGGGGGGATTATGAGCGATTAAACTTTTATGTAAAACCTCACCTGTTTTTATAAAGTTAACAATGTTATTCAGGTTGATTTGTCTGAAAATCTCATTCATGTGTCTTACTTTTTTATAGAATTTTTCCTCAGATATGGTTAAAAAGCCAGTATAGTCTATAAGTATGCACTTGATGTTATATGGTTCTTGACATGCTATATATATATATATATATATATATATATATATATATATATATTTTTAGGGATTCCTCATTTGTAAAGAGAAAAGAATGGGTTAGGTAAATGTGGCTTATGTGAAATCTAGCTCGGACTACCTCTTCTCTTCTTATCTTATCTTTCTATAAACTGGAGGCCATCCTCCAATTGTGGGTTGAAGCCAGATTTGTATCCCCTTAATGGTAAGTGTTTGACAGGCAATATAGTATATATGCAAACTGTGCAGACCTCTGGGACCATTATTATAGTGGTTTGACAGAGAGATGGTTCAAACAAACACATTATAAGATGTTAACAGGAATGTGTGAATATAGAAATAGCACAGCCCTGTCAAAGTATGTATGGGACATGAAAGATAATATATTAAAAAAGGAAAAGAAGAGTTTTGATTAAAGATGTTCTAAAGAAAGAATTTGGGGGTAGGGATTGTGAGAGATTACATTTTTGTGTAAAGTCTCACCTGTTTTATAACATTTAAGATGTTATTTGAGTTGGTTTGTTTGAAAAGCTTGTTCATGTCTCTTACTTTTAGAATTTTTCCCAGATATGGTTAAAGTCAATACAGTATGTGCTTGATAGTATATGGTTCTAGGCATGCTGTACATATTGGAGGTTCCTGGGTGAAATGTACTTGGATTAATACTGGTCATTTATTTATTTTTTAAAAATCTTTTACACTTATTGTCTTTTATTTCAATAACAACTTGCCCTTGTGAATATATCTAAATGTAATGACCAAAAGAGAGGAACACTCCCTGTGTATTTTATATTTTGCTATGTATCTAACATGAAGGGAAGTTTGAAACTTTGTTCCTTGATCAGCCAATATATGAAAAAGCAAATATATACTTTCTTTCACTGTTTGACCTCTCCAGTTCACAACTCTCCTGCCCAGTGGTTTGACCAGAGCTTTGCTATAAAATCTGAAAGATAACTCCTCTCTTAAGCAATGCAAATTTACCAAAAGACAAGACATTTGACCAAATAGATTCTGTATACATGGGTCTGTGTAGTTCTATTTATATATTTATTTCATCCCTGCTCCCTGATGTTTAAGAAATAAAACAAATTACTGGTAATAAGAGTAGTTTAATTTTTCCCATCATTTGTTTTTTTTTTCTTTCTTGATGTAAGAAAATGCAACTCATATGAAGTTAAAACATAATAGTTAATTATATACAAGTCATTCCTGAGCTATTCCTACTGAAATTCATGCACTAAAATCCCATGTGCTCTTAGTTTAACTCTATACTTTGAACTCTTCCCCCTCCTCTTTGAGATTATTTTTGTAAATAGAAGTTATGTTTGTCTCTTGCCCAGTTCACACTCCTTCCTCTTTTTTCAAAGAGGAGTAAAGGTTTATTCATTGTTTCCTGCCGAGGATGGAGCTTTCAGTTCACTCTACTGAGGCCTCAATAAGAGCAGCTGTCTTGACCTTTTGGTGATATGACTGGCTGGTGACCACAACTCATCATATTAAGTGTAACAGGTTAGCAGTTTTCAGGTTGCTACATCCTGATGGGTAGCAAGGAATCCAAACTATTTGGTAGCACTTAGAGAAGTTGCTCTGGTCAACAGTCACATAATATTAGGGTTCTTGCAGTTCCATGACATGCATGAGTAGGTGTGCTTGCAAGTACTTCCAGTGGGTAACTATACTGTAGTTTCACCACATTCTGGACAGCCTTAGACGATGGACAGTTACTTATTCTTGATTGTTTTCACCCCTAAATGTTTATCTTATTATCACAATAATCAATAAAAATAAAACTAAAGCAGCTTGCAAAATAAACCATCTAAGCCCCTTAACCTTTCTTTCTGCAATGTTCATAGTGTTTGGTTTGGTTTGGTTTGGCTTACAGCATATCAACTGCATATTTAATGCTGACAATTTTTATTGCTGGTAATATTTTTTTTTCCCAAAAATGTATTGCTGGTAATATTTTTTTTCAATTTCCTTAATTTATTGCTGGTAATAATATTTTACAAAGTATTTCTGGTATTAATACCTAATTTTACACTTTCGTGTTTCGACCCCAGTTTGGGAGTTAACTATTTGCCCATAGCTGGGACCCTAACAGGTGCTACCACCCAGGTCAGAGTGGACTTGGGAAAACCAGCAATTAAGAGGTGGTTCCATGCTCCTTAAAACCTCCTGATCAGAGGCCTTGCTGTTGGACATTGTTTATCATCTTACCAAGGACACAGATATAGTTTATAGTCAGGACAGCATAGTATTTGTATCAATTTCTGTAGTGTAGAATCTTTTCCCTTGGAACACTCTCCAAACATCCTAGCACTCTACAAATCTAAAATTACTCAATCTTTACCACTGAGTTCTCCATTCCTGGCTATCTTCCACTTTATCAAAAAGATTCTAGAGTGTCCATGCACGGCCCCAGTATTTACATTCAAAGAAATCTTCCATTTGTAAGGAAATTGCCTGTTGAGTCTCTTGATTGTTCTTATATATGCTCTGTTAGTTATCTTTTCCTCTTCTCCACATTGTAGCTTGATAGATAAAATATCTGACAATATAGAAATGGCTCTCTCGACATACATCTGCAAATATTTTCAGGTTTGGTGACTTCAATATGTATCATGTCAAGTAGGTTCATCATTCTAATACCACTAATCTCATCCACATGCAGACTTTGAACTTCTCAACTGCTCAATCTCTCACTCAAAGTCAAATATTAATTTCCTTACACGTTTCCTTAGTTATTCATACATAC